ATGTAAGCCGCTGCCACTGTGTTGTCCCTGTGGACTAGAACGTGCTGGTCCTGGACCAGATGGGTGGAATGCACAAGCACTTTCCATACCGTCAGGAGTTCCAGAACGTTTATGTGGGGAAAAGGGTGGAAAGACCAGCTGTCTCCCACAGTCTGGGACAGGCATGCCCCCCACACCCCACCCCGACAGTGACGCGTTGGTCAAGACCGGCACGTGATGTGTCGCTCTGCTCAGAGGAACCCCTACAGACAGTGTGTGCAGCTTTCTCCAGTGGTTCAGATCCGCTTCTACTGAGGAGGGGATCGATACGATCCTGCGCTTGTGGCGTGTCGGAATGATCTTTAGCCGGGAGAACCATCATTGCAAGTGTCTTGTATGTAACAGCCCAAGCGGAACCACCGCATGGGCTGCTGTCAACATGCCCAAGAGGCGCATGATAGTTAGGGCTGTCACTGACCTGCAGGGCCTGACATGCGCTAGTACTCAGAGGCTTTGCCGCCGTCACACTCTCCTGTGTAACCCATGGGAGGCTCTGCTCGAAGGGGCTGCACAGAAGCTCCGGGGAGCCCTGCATGCAGTTTTTTGTTTGAACGTGACCCGAGAAGGGCTACTTCCGCATCCGTCTGTGAGCTTGAGTTCAAGCTAGTTTCAGCAGAACCAAACACAGAGCTCATCACGCCGCTGTAATGGGCAGATTCACGCTGGAACGGGGCAGAGACAATGCACTTCTGATTGTGACATGGCTCATATTGATTGTCTTCTCTTACGTCCGCCGTTTGCCAGAGGAATGAAGAGAAGGAAGTGTGTGCGTTCGCCAGCCACAAGGAGGTGGCCGCTGAACGAACTGCAGAATGTAATACGGTGGAAGAGTAAAATGTTGGGTGACTGTTCGGTAAGAACCAGAGGCTGGCTAGGCACAAGCTTAGGGGACCTTGTCTTACCCAGAGTGGGGGAAACATGTGTGAGACAGGACAGGCCCCGTCATGAGACCTGACTGAACTGGATACTTTTGAGAGGAATTTGCCCATTAGGGGAAGATGTTTATTTTTATTCACACAAGGTCTCAACACCCCCGCCAGTCATTTCTTCTGCCCCTTTTGTGGAGGTGGAAAGAGGTTGGGCCAAGTGCAGGCCAGCTGTCCGGTCCCGCGCCGAGGAGCACGCTGATGCTGAGACGGAGGTCGGGAGTGTGGTGCTGACACCGGTGCTGGAGCAGGAGACGAGCGGGGCACCGACGCTGTCGGTGAGCACCGAGTCTGCTGCCTCTGAGCACGGTGATCCCTCCAAGGGCAGGATGAGGAAGCTTGTCGATGAGCTGCCGGAACTGCTCCTGCATGGTCTGTGTCATGTTGAGATGCTCCAACAGACTTTGGTACTGGGGGCCAAAGAGCCCATCAGGGTTGACAGGGCCCTCCAGCATCTGCTTCCGCATTTTCGCCGAGATGGAAAGGGCGAGGCGCAGCCACATCTTCCTCTGTAGCAGATTCATCCACGCCATGATGCGGGACGCACACACGGCCTGAGCAGAGCAGAGATTTAAAATTGTGTCGGCCGCTGCACAAAGCTCCACCTTCTCCTCCTGCTGTGCCTCGTTCTCCACCACTGTCTTTGAGATGTTGAAGGCCAGGAGAGCAATATTGTTCATTGCAGCCGCAGACTGTGCCGCACATTGGTGGGACCAGTCAGTCCAGTTGACGAGCTGCTGGTCTGCTGTGTTGTGAGGGTCGGGTTACTATCTGGCTGACCGTACTGTCTCGATGCCGAAAACCCTGGAAAGTGCAGGTTCCAGTCCTGGAACCGGCGGGAAACCAGAATCGGTCATCCCCTCCACCTTGGTCACGTCCACGTAGGACGACACTGGCATTCCCAGCTTGGTGGGGTCGCTGTTGGCAGACGCCAGATACGACTGGACCACGGGGAATTGTGACCAAACCACAACCCGGCGGCCAGCAAGTGGTGATGCGAACTGGCCTTCCAGTTCATCCGATGGGGGAGCCAGCAACTCAGGAACCGCCAGTCCCCTGGCATCCGCTGCCCACTGAATGATGTCCAGGAGGGCACTCACGAGAGCCCCGATGGACAGTAGTGGCATGGAAGAGGAGCGAGGAAGACCCAGCTTCCTGGGTTCTTCCTCACCTTGAGCCCGAGTCCAGCCCTCCCGCCTGGGAGGGGTGAACCGGGCCGCCACTGTCGCCTTTGTCCTCTGAAGCGGGGTTATCCGACTCCGGTCCAAAGTCGATGAGTTGGTCAAGCGGGACGGGGTCGAGAAGCTCGAACCCCTCATCCTGGTCAGCGAAGAAGTCAACCTGCCGCTGCCTCTCCTCCACCGACAGCTTCCTGCATGCCAGGCCTCTGCCGTCAGAGCCTGGTTGGCGTGGTCGGCACCAAGGCAACCCTCACACACCACATGCAGGTCGGTGGATAGCATGTATCCAGTGCCGCAGACAGGGCAAATCTTTGCTTGGCCTGATCACGAAGCTGAAGAAAAAGAGGGAGTAGAGCACTGGTTCGGCTGGCTTTTATGCGGACCAAGGTTGGGCCACATGGTACATGGGCATAGACTATTGGTTCTTCAGAATGCGCACGGGCGCGAGGGACACCCACCAGTGATAGCCTTAGAGGGCGGAGTTTACACGAAAAAGAAGCCTTTGTTTTATAAAGCAAAACTTCCTGCATGACAATGCATGTCTCAGTCTTTATACTAGTAATTGTTTTAAGATAAAAAAATTAGCCTGATGATTTCAGCTACAATGTAGAGGGACACAGCAGAGGGATTTTAGACTTACAGCAGAGTTTGGTGCTTACTTGAGCTTATTTAACAAAAACTAAAGCCAGCAGTAAGAGATGTGCTTCTCGCCAGTCTCCATGGAGATGCCACTTTTCACCAGCACTAACAAAACTTTTCTTTCTACAGCACCAATTGTACCTTTTCAAGAGCTTTCCACCCATTTAACTCTGGAATTAGAAGCAAAGTTCCTTTTTCCCTTTTCAGTTTCCCTTTACTTTTCTTTAAAGTTGTTCTCTGACAGAATATCTGTGATCATAACACCACTTTTAACAGACTAATTTGTTGGTGTAGATTTTCAGTCTTCTAGGCGTAACAATCCTCAGTGTTTCAGTAGGAGACAATTTGACTTCTCCTGATTCTTCAGTGAAACCTCACCTTATTTTTCAAAAACAAGCAAAGGAAGTATTTATATGATGATCCAACACAGAAGAGGTCAGGTCAAGACTCAGCAGTTAGTTCATCTACATCTCAAGAACAAGAAATTTGCTTTTCTCATAGTTTAGTCCAGGGCTATTCAACTAAATTGCTCCAGGGGCCACAGTTACTGCAGGCCAACAGCACAGGGGCCAAACATCCAGCAATTAAAATCATTATGTAAATAAACCAAGTATTACAAAGATCTGTTACCTTTGAAATAGCTTATTTTGCTGCATTTAATCATGAATACAACATACAGAACCCTATAAAAGTAGTGATAATAAAACAAAAACCAAAAGAACACATTCTGCCTCATATTTAGCACAAATAATATTTTGACATCTCTGACTTGCCAAAATTTTAAACCAATTTTATTTTCACTTTCAATGTTTTATCTGCTTGTAGTTTTAACTGTCTTGAGTGATCATAGAAATGGTTTTTACCAGCTTGTAGCCAAGATTCTGACGCTTCTGTACCAAACATGTCTATGTCTAACTAAAAGAACTTAGAGTAATTAAAGTACAAATCCGGGGCCGATTGACGGGCCGAACTTTGGTCAGTTGAATAGCCCTGGTTTAGACACTGAAGACAGGTGGTTTGAAAGAGGCATTTACATAACGATAAACAACACATGACATAACAACCCTATTATTGTGATGTTATAACAACTTCGACTTATCCCACAGTCACAACTGAAGTATTGAAAGAGAAATGAAATGTCTTTGAGAATTAAGAAGTGTGGTTACCTTCTGCTGACCTACTTTGAATAGACCAAGTATGATGGACCTAGTAATGAGGCAGGGCTAACAGGAAATCTAGAGGATTTTCTTTTGTTTGTCTGTATACATAAATAAATAAATTAAAATACAATCAAAACCAACACTTTAATTTACAGAAACATTTAAGCACATGTGGAACACAAAAGTCTCTTACAAACTAAGGGTAAAACATTAAATAATATCCCCTCATCAATATAAAGTAATGACCTAATGTAAAGAGCTATTTCTACAATATTCTACTTTTTATTTACTCTAGAAATCCCATGACAAAAATCAAACCACCATCAATTTAATTTGAGCCAATTTGTATTGGTTTTGTAAGTAAAGCTGGATTATTATTGTCAAGAAACTTTTTGTTCATTTTATCTTAAGCTTTGCCATGATTTACTATTCAAAAATTTAACTTTTAAAAATGTGCCAATTTTGTGCACTTCCACAAAATGGTTGTGAAAATATCTGAAGGTTTTTTCTTTTCTTGTAAATGTCAGCTGTGTAAAATGTTGTTAGCTCAGATAGTTTTATCTGTGTCCTCCGTGTTTGGTCAGCCTCCCTACACATTTTTGTTTCTAGTTCCTGGGAAAAACAAGCTGTTATTTGTTATCTGACCCATGACTCACCAGAGTCACTATTTTTTCTGCCACAGGTGACTGATAACTTTGATCGTCAGGAGTTGAATAAAATGTGCTGGACACTGTGCTTCAGGAAGAACCTGCAGCAGAATCAGCTGTTTATCTCCAATGATGATGCCTTCAAGATATGGTGCATCTTCAACTTCCTGTCAGAGGACAGATACCCACTGATCATGGTCACTGAGGAGGTGAGTTCTCCCTTCAGCAGCTGTGACGACAGTAAAACAGAGAGTTGTTCTTCAGACAAACTTTTAGGGTCAATCTTATCTTAGTATCGTAAGTCCATGCCATCAGTGTCCAGAACAGAAAACCTTTCTTCACTGAAAAGTTCTTTTTTTTTTGCAACACATTTTGTTTCACAGAGCTCATTCAGCTTACCTCTGAGAATGACGTGATCTATGTTTGCCCCTCATGTTGGACAACATGCTTCCTTTAGAGCTTATTATGATGATGGGGCATTCCTTGTAAAATGGAAATATTTCCCCGAAAATCACCAAAATAGTTGTCTTTTGATCCACAGTAAACTAATCATGTTAGAGACAAACCAAACCTTCCGTTCCATTGTTAAAAAAACAATTCAGAACAGGGCTCCGAATAGATAGCAGTGAAACGAAGAGTAAATAGGAAACTGATTAAATAGTAGTTATAGTCCTGGATTGGTTTTGCTGGGTTCAGATCTGATGTAGCTTTAAAAAATCAACAAGACTTGATTAAAAATAGCAAGCTGTCTGTCAGTCTTAAAGGGGACACATGCAAAATCCACTTTTTTAGACTTTAAATGCATTTTGTCATGTACTCTGAGTCTCTAGGAGTACAAAAAAGTTGAATTTAGTTTCTCCTGGTGCTACGTAGATATATTTATATTCTATTTGGGTCCTATTTTTCTACCTGTTCAGTTTTCTCTATTTTCTATGACGTTTTCTGAACTTTTACATCACAGTATTTTTGATGCAAATAATGTACAAACTTACCAACTACAATTTATCATTGACTTCATTCTCCTCTGGCTCTGGGTCAGACTCTGTCTCCAACATGTAAGGCTGGATGGACAAGTCTTCTGTTCTTGACATCTTTTAATTACTTTGTTAATATAAAGTCACTATAGTCATAAACCCTTCCAGGGGTGGGGTGGGTTTGAAATTCAGCCCAGGAGCTTGGTTTGGAGAGGGCTTTTTTCTAATTGCACGATGGACACAAGCAGAACCATAATTTTAATGCAGATTCATTATCTGCAGTATTAAAACAGTTTTTTCAACAATCAACTACAACAAACAGCTTATCTGAAATATCAAAGCAAATACTGGTAAACAAAAACCAATCTCAAAAGGTATAAAGACCTATCACTCTAACACATCCATCCGTCCGTCCGTCCATCCATCTCTTTATCTTGTGCTGCTTTATCTGCATAAAAAGAAAATTAGTAACAATAAAGATAATAGTTCATAAACACCAGAAAAGATGTCAGAAAGCTACTAGCATCACTTGCAGAAGTGTATATAGGCTTAATGTTTCTRTGTGACTGGAGGAGCTTCTTAAGACCACAGCATTTTAGTCCAAATTAGACTTTTTCAAAAGAACATGAAAAAGATCAATAATTTCCCCTCAAACATATATACTCACTTTCTCCTGAAAGATTTGGTGAAATATTTTTATCCAGAGTGAGTCTCCTTTGTTTGTGAAAAAAGATGTAGATTTTATTTATTTTACCTTGTACACTTTTGGGAACATTCACAAAAGTATTAAAATCAGTTTAGATCATCGGGCTAGTGAGAGTGAATGATTACTGGATAAAACTCATTTATAGATCAGTCAGAAGAAAGAAAAATACATGGTGAAGGGAAATTGTGGAATTTTCAGCCTCTTTCAGATGTCAAAAATACTAGATCTATACTACAATCCTTAGATCTTAGGACATTAATATGTTTTACAAAGACCCATCATAAACACAGTCCTGCAC